TTTCCGTTCCAATGGAAATGAATATACTGATTGTTTCACGATGGCTTCCTGTGGATGGCGCGTTGGATAGTTCCGTCTGATCGACGGCTTACTAGAACGTCCAGAAATGTAAACTGCTCATTCTCTTCGTTCTCTAGAGTAAATTTAATGTTTAGATTAGCTGAATTAAATACTTTCAAGAGTCTTGACAGATGCACACTCTCATTGACAAATCACAAAATGTCATCCACCTAGCGCTTGTAAAATGTTCAACGATCAATTGTTCGTTTTAGGATGTTATTCTCCAGCTTTGCCATGAAGATATCAGCGAACAATGGACCCAGAGGAGATCCCATTGCTACCCCATCTATTTGGCAGTATACTTCGTCATTGAATTTGAATTGTACATTATGTGTGCAAAAGTATATTAGTTATTTGAGATCATCAACTGGCATTCCAATTTCATAATTATTACTTTGTATGTAGTCACATATGTACTCAATAGTTTCATCAATGGGAACGTTAGTGAAGAGTGAAGTGATAACATGCGTATTCCGTTTATGTTTGTGTCGTTAATACTAGCCACTAAGTCGTAAGAATCCCTTAATGTGCGATTAGCGAGTTTTGCTTGCACGGGTTCTAGGATCACTACCAACCACTTAGCCAAGGCATGGTAAGGGAAGTTACATATATCTAAAATCGGTCTAAGAGGCACTTCATTTCTATGTATCTTCGGTAAGCCATAAAGTCTCGGGATCGTCGTTCCTGTTGGTCGGAGTTGATCAAATGTGGCAGTGTCTATTATTTCCCTCTGTTTGAGACACCGGAGCGTGACAGTGACTTTTCTATTTGTTCTGTTTTATCTTTCTCTCCGGCTATTTTCTGAAATTTTCTGGTGTCGCTGAGTATGCTGTTTATTTTGTTCATATAGTCTGTTCGATTGAAAAGGACTATTCCGGCGCCTTTATCTGGTCTCGAAAGTATAAAATCTCGGTTTTCCTTCAACCCGTTCAACCGATCCCGGTGTTGTGCGGTAATCTCGATTACCTAAAACTGTGAACAACTAGACAGATAGAAAGAGGGTTTTCCAAATTGGTGCCTAAGATTTCCAGGGCGTGGCATATTTCTAGATAACCCATACCGACGAAGGGGTTTTCGTTGGGAACCCTGACCAGCAATGTAATCAAACCAATAATAAATGCAGGGAACGCAATTTGAACAACCAGGGAAATAGGGCCGAAAAAGTATCACACAATTTCTAAAGGTCATCCATAGATGGACAACATCAACAAACATGCTTTCGCCCGGTGTCTACTGCATTTGACAGATTTGCACATTATTCACGGGGAATCTGGACAACACTGTCAATTGTTCCCCTGCCTTCCCAGGAACAGAGGCGCATTATCTACGCGCACAAATTGCCCGTATCAGTTCGTCCACTCACATCTCACCAGAGGGTTACTTTCAACTGGGACAAGGTGGAGAGGAAGAGGAAGAACAAATGGAAGATGAGGAGGGCAATCCTAGTCAGATGTGTAGCAAAAATCCCGATTACGAATCGATACCGGCCGAGCAACTGGTTACAGGAGGTTTAGAGCAGTGGGTTCATCACATACCGTATATTCTACCCCAGGGACGAGTCACGTGGTAAGTTTAAATGAAATTTATTTTATCCTCTGGAAGAATACTGATGACAATCATAAATGAATAAAATCCCTGGCACTTAATTGTGGGCATTTAGAGTAAATATAAAGATTCCAGTATGCGAAGTTTTGTACAATGAGTTCTAAATTATAGCTGACTGAGCTGTGGTTTGAAATCGAAAACAACTCAAAGGTTTTCGATATTGATAGCCATTTATCCGGTCTATATGAATTAGTCAAGGTTTAGTCAGACGGGTGTATCTTTTCCTGTTTATCCTGCCCAGGCCTGTGGTCGGGAGGTCATCAGTTCATAACATGGTGTGTATGTTTACCAAATCCATACTTCGAGCTTTCAATTGTTATGCATGGATTCTCTGTCGTTTTATGAGGACTACACATGAGCTGATGAACACCTATATCAGAAGCCTTCTCCTGTCTGCTTAGAGCATAGACCGGGGGGGGGGGCAGTTCAAGCGCTGCGCTTAAAGTCTGAAAAGGCCATCACAAACTACCACTTCACGTGATACTGTAATGCAAAAATATACGGTCGAGTGAGACTGTTCTCTTGAAAAAATAACGATTCTCAGTGAAAGCTTTTGAGAGTTTCATTTCACATCGAGGACTGTTGTTCATTTTCGATCAATTGCGAAAAACGTTGTCAACTTAGTTTTGAAGAATCGGAACTCATAGTTCGTGAATCTATACATGAAGGTACATTATTACTAACTATGTGAAAGATTTTGCAAATATGAAATGAAAAAAGTCACGGCAGTACCGATTCCAAGAAAGCAATTTTCTGCGAAGTTGAAAATAGCCTAACCCCATTTCTTGGAGTCCAGAAATCTCTCCTGATTTGCCTCAAGACGAAGTAATCTGTGCAGTAGTATTTCCTAAGGATGCAAGTTGTTTGAATACACCTAATATATCGAGCATTTCCGGTCCTATATTTCTTGGACGGTCACTCTGTCACCAGGTGGAATCCATCAAGGACATCTGGGGAGGAAATGGAAGATGTAATGGAGGATGAGGATGAAGACGAGGGTGGAGATCAAAGCAAACCGCCTCCACCACGACCAGAACGTGGACCACCTATACTGAGCAAAATCGCATCCGATTTAGCTATATTTGGACAACCGGCTTGGTCCGTTCGTCTGAGTTCCCAACTGATACCCGAACACGCTTCCGTGGTTGTTTCATCAAACTTATGGCCTGGTGCTCATGCCGTTGCATGGGGAAAGTGAGTTTTTAATCCACTTGCGAGCTAAATCAGTGTTTGGTAATTTTCAATTTACTTTATCTGTTAAAATAGATTGAGTAATGTTAAACCTAAGGTACATATATTTGTCACAAATCTGTTATCAGTAACACGGGGCGTTGTTTACAGTCGATTAGTGAATCCAAGTGATCATTTAAAACATGTTTCGTTCCGAAGTACTGGTTTGATTGACAATTCGACATATTAGCCACCGTGGACGTGGAAGTCCGCTCGTTAACCGTATGATCTGACTCACAATACATCGACTAGTTGACTGTGGACCCCCCCACACACATTGATTTATCGATGAGAGTGTTAGATTGACCGCTTAGGAAAACGGATCGATATTGTTGTGATCCCATTAGACCAACTAGCGGATTTGATAAAACAGCCGTTAGAGAGGGAGTGGCAGAGAGAGTTCGCAGCTTTTATTGCTCAAGCACCAATAGGATAGCAGGCAAGTCTTGCAACGAGCTTGCAGAATGGCAGTTCGCGTATCTGTTGTGCTCGATGAACTGCCATTTACGATTGCAACTTCATATGACGACTTATTTCTCTCTCCCTCTGTTTTAATTGCACCTATACCTTTTCGGCGAGAAAGTAACGACAATTTATGATCAGGTGAAATGTAAGTTGACAAAGCTAAAACCAGCCTTTGCAATCGGATTGCAGTCGACAACCAGTTAGCAGGTTTGATTAAAATCTCCGAAAGATAAAGTGTCAGATTATGTCTTTTGTAGTGTTCTTACGTAACACAGACAAATTATTTTTTATGCGCAGATGTTCCTTCCGAAGCTTATTTGTAGCGCACTTACTTAACTAACAATCCCAATTTGAGTAGTTTCACAATCCGAATTTCCTTGTCGTTTTTTTGATGAAGGTCCTTTGAGAACGTTTATATTGGTTGGGGATTGAAAGCATCCGGACCGGGTTTTCAATCGCATTTGCCTGTGGATCCCTTGGATGAGTTTCAAGACACTCCGGAAATCAGTGAAACACTCGATCCCACCCCGGAAGATGAAGCCGCACTGCGTGCCGCTCACAATATGGAAAATGTAGAAGAGGAGCACGGTGAAGACAACGGATCGGATGCGGATAGAGCAGACGAGGAACAGGAGGAAGATTAGGCTGAATTGTCTATCGGTGCACAATCATGCTATTTGTGAACAATTTATTTTATGAAAAAATTCTTAATGGTGAAATATTGTGATAGTTTGAGATTCAAACGAATTCGGTTTTTCGTGACTAACTGTTTTGCGTACTTGGTGTAAAATTTCGGTGACATGGTAGGAACACCGGAGAAATGAGGGATTGCGTTATCAGGCGGAGAAGTTGAAGAAGTGATAAATTAATCATACACCTTTTGTGTTCGGTTCTTTGGATGATTATGTACTTAAACAACAAAGAATCATATCAGCCTGACAGGGAGAAGCAATAGTAAATGTGTAAAAAAATTGGATATAGTATTCGACATTGAAATATGAACAGTATCTCGTTGACAATTATCCCGTGTAAAAAACGTTCTCCGGACACGCACACCCGCACGCTGTGAGCCAAGTCCAGGTGCATGCTTTTTTTCTCTCACCCATACACACCACACACCGACTGACGGTCTACACACCAATAGTCTGTGTACCTAGCCTATTTATTGGTTGTGTGGGAACAAGCTCCAGTGTTGGCTCCGAACGGTCGAGGGTGTGGATGCGAAAAAAGTCTTATGCGGATAGAGTTTATGAATTGTAGCCACATTTACATTTGATATTCCAATGTTTTCACCTGCGTGTGCATTGGTGAAACTTTTATTAGCACTTAATTTCAATTCAGTCAAAAAAGACCACTCAACACAAAAATATTGAATAAGAACGACTATTATCTTTCAGTGAAGTAGAAATAAATCTACTCGACGTGAACCATAAGTGGAACGAAGGTGTTAACAAGAAGAACATAGAGTGCAGTTCAGACACCATCTTCACTTTGAGCAATACATAACAAGTAACAAAATTATGAAAGAATGGGGTTCTTATAAATGTAAATTGAAGCGGTCAAATACCTTTAGGCAGATAATGTTTTTATATTGGAGTGGAAGGAAGTCAGATCAGAGTGCAATGTGTGGGGGTTAACCTAAAAAAACATTTCGTGGTCGAACTTGGTGCAAGGAAAATATCTTTGTAAATAAACCTGGAGGTTGATTGCTCAAAGGTAAAGAAGGCCACATGAATGATGATCATAAGACAGCGCAATATAATTTTGAAAGTGAAGAATGAAATTGCCTGAGCCTACTAGCGGGAAACAACAGTTGTAATTCGCTGAAGCATAATGGAATGTGTGAAGTAGCTCAGTGGTTAGCATCAATGATGAGTTCCCTAGTGCTTGACGCAATTCACTCCTTCTGTATACAGGTCTAATCGAAACTGAAGCAACGGGTCCCTATGAAACACTTGGGGTTTCGTATAAGCAACAGTATTTATACTGAAGTAAATTTTTTTTCAAGTAACAATAAACAAGCCTTGGTGAGTCTTTATAGACGTGATTATTATGATTCGTTTATACTCAGCAGATGGAATGGTTCAGAATGTAGCGGATACTCCCATTTCATCAGTACTGATTGACCTAGACCATGATGAGTAAAGAGAATGAAACAATTTTTATTAGCAGCAAATTAACATTGATAATAAGCAAGATGTAAAGTTTGTGTAATCTAACAGTCGATTGGCCTGCCTTTGTTCTTTAGGACTTTTTTGAGTCTCTTCGGCATCGAATCCACCAACTTTGTTATGAACTCATTTTCTAATTTGTGCTCCATTACGAATCACACTTTTGCCTCCAATGTTCAATGCATAGGTAACACATTGACCTCTCTCTTCAAAACGGAAATCAGATTTTCAGTCACGTTGAGATCCGGGCTATTAGGAGGAAGTTGCATAAACTGAGATAACGGGAACTTTTGGTTTTGAGCGCTACTTGCTTCATTATAGTGACAACAATACGAACATTCAAAGCTGTGCACAAAAATGACCTTGATTTCAAGGTTGACTTTGGTTGGAGTAGTATTTCTCGAATTCAGTGAGTTAGATACTAAACAGATTATTATTATGAACCCTTATTTAATGTAATTTCCTCGGGTTGTGAAAGAATTTCATTTGGTTGTTCCATAGAGTTGCTATAATGGATTATATGTCGGATAAAAAAATGTCTCATAACAAACAAGCGAGGTGGCAACGGTTTATGGAAGTAATTTGGGATAATTCTTAAGTCATTCCTATTAGAAAATATTGCGTTGCCATAGTTGATAAAGTTTTCGGTTTTCATGTTCAGATCATTTAATCTTGGCACTCAAGGTCAGGCACGTTTAACTGACACTTATGCAGACTGGAAACTACGTAGATCGAAGTAGACAAGATATAAACTATTGTTCATACCTAAAGCATTAATACAATTGATAGAAATAATGAAACTCCATTTGATCATAAAGAAAATATTTTAGTGCATCACAATCGGCCAGTACTGTATAGTCGTTAATAATGATTACACTGCCTTCAGAAAAGGAAAAAAGATGCACTCAAACATTTGAGTGGATTGAATTCCAGATCTGATTAGGTGTAAAAGAGCCTATGGAATGTATGTTCACTCAAAATTAGCCGTATCTCAGACAAACTGGCACGAAATACCATCTATGTACTTTAAAATTTGAGAGCGAGAGTTACCAAACAGATTGCTGGAGGGAGCGAAAATTAGACATGGAGCGACAGTAGCAACCTGAAGCGTTACAGGTTGTTGATCAGATATTTAAAAGTAGTAATGCCTATCGTGATGCACTGTACTTGTTCCGCGAAGTAGTTGGAATACGGGGCAAGTAATGGTTTTGGACATCAAAATGTTTCTCCTTTGTGAAGGACTGTGAGCGAGAAATCGATTCAAAGGCAGAAAATCAGTCAAGAAATACACGCATGACCAACTTTTCTATATCATTTTTGAAATTTGTCGATAGGATGACCGAAGGAACACACTGCATTTAAGGGGCATCTGTTAAGTTGGCATGCAAGTTGGAGGGAGGGTGGTGCATGGGAGTTAATCATTTATTATTGTAAACTTGTGAGAGCAGTCTTATCAGTCATTTTCAGTAAAATAAAAGCGAGGTGTATTGGGCAAAAATGTTTTTTGATGACTGTTGACTTGATGATCTTAGAACTGGGACGGACATCAAGCAGTCTGGGATTTCACAGCAACTCACAGTGGAGTTCATTGCCTCTGTCAAAGCTACAGCTCTGTATTTAGCAAGTGCGATAAAGTCATCATTCTGGGTGGTTTAGACAAAATCTTTTAGTAGTGGTAAAAACTCC